AGGATGGGAGGTAACTGCTATTTCTAGTCTGCTTGCAACATGCTACATGTTTGGGATCTGTGGTGTTTTTTTTCCTTCTTTTTTGTGTTCCTGGAAGTCATCCAGTCCAGTAGTGCTGTTGTAGCTCTGCTGAAGTTGTAGGTATTGTAACTAGAGCGAGTACAGTGCAGGTAGCACCTGCAGGCTGACAGTTCAGGTTAGGCCTGGCTGCTGGCACTTCTCAGGCTCACCCTGCTCTTTCCAACAGTTGTCCTGTTTTTTCAGGGTGGCTGATGCAGTGGAACATTACCTGGATTTTCTGGCTCTGATTCAGGAGGGACTGCAGCAACAGGCAGGTATCTTGGTGACTTGGCAGATGAAGCCCTGGCCCAGACTTCACAGCTTGACTCCAGGCTCCAGTGTCCAATCTGAAATATGGAGGAAATGAACTGGTGTTTGGTGACTCTGGCCTGTGTCTTTGGATTCACACAAGAGACTGCTTGCCACTGCTGTCCAGAGAAACAGCTCCCTCTTCTAGAGAGCAGCTGTTGGCCTGGTTTTGGATACCCTTTGCTTTAGGAGTAGGGGTTTGCCTTCTTGACTGCTGAGCTATTGTTGCGCGACCCCTGCTTCCTGCAGCAGGCTCAAGTGGCTGTGGGGATGGGTCTAAGCTTTGCTGGGCAGCAACTGGGTTCCCAGTAAGCATGGTCCTTTTGCTTGGCTATGTCTTAGCACTGCCATCACTTTTGCTCACCAGGTACCCCTAGATAGTGGCTCACCTCTGCCTAGGATCCCTGAGGTGTTCCTGGAAGCAGCATCTGCCTTGGAGCAGGATGGAAGACATCAGGATTCATTAACAGTGTGTGATGAGGTCATCAGCAGGACAACTCATCTAGTCCCACAGATAGTACAAGTTGAGGAGAAGCTGGAGCAGCCAGAGTGCGCATCACTGGGGACTGGGTTATCTGGTGGGCTCCTGTCTCAGAAGAGAGAGAGTCTGTTCTGCCTCTTGTGGAGAGCAGCTGCATACCTGCACCAGGGCTGGGTGTGGACCAAGCTGGGCAATGGCAAGGAGGCCATAATACAATTCAGCAGGTAACAGTGTCGTGCTGCGAGAAGCAACCTCTCTAGCAGGCTGTAATGACTGGTGTGAGCAGAGCACAGATCAGCGTGGGGACTGGTGTGACAGCTTACAGCTGACCTTCTAGTCCAGGCATGGCACTGAAGTTCCTCTGTTCTACCACTTTGCAGGTGCCTCAATGACCTCTTGCGATTTCAGCCTTGTGGGCATAGTGTTGAAACAGCAGGTAGGCACTGTGTGGGATCTGTGTCTGGTTGTCTGCTTCTGTATGCTTGGCAATGGCATGTAAAAGGAGAAGCCTGTATCTCCAGTGCCATCTTGGGCAGGAGGTGGTTGTTGCAGTGTGCTGAGCTTTGTGCCACACTGAAGGGTCTGACTGATTTCGTTGAAGCAGAATTTGGCCTTGGCTCTGCTTTCTTTTCTCTTAGATAGGTGACAGTTAAATGGATTGTGAACTGGGAAGCTTCTCGGTACTGGATTTCAGGGAAAATATTTGTATGAGTTTTGCAGATGAGCAGGCAAAGACCAAGCTATTACTGCAGTTACTCCTGATGTTCTTTGCTCTTACCCTTTGCTGCCTCCTGGCCTTTCCTAGCCTGGCAGCAGTCTTGGCTCTGCCGCTGTTTGTGCAGCAGGGGAGCTGGAAGATGAGCAGCCCAAACAGATCTCACACATCTTCACCACTAACCTGTGACTTTATGTGACAGAGAATCTCCTGCCAGAAGTGAAGGTTCTCCAGAAGATCAGGTTGCTTTCTCTGATTGGGCGAGGGATGCAGTTTTTGGAGCAGGAGAGGCACAAGGAAGCCTTGCTGGATTTCCAGCATGGCTGGCAGATCTCACCAGGTAAGAGGTTCTTTTTGATGAGGAACAGAGAATTTTCACTTTTTTTTTTCTTTTTTTTCCTGTACTGCTTTAATGACTTCAGCAGAAAGATGTCATGATTTAGTCATGCTTATTCAAATGTCAAGGGCTACTAGCATGTTACATATTTGAGGTGCTCCTCTGAAGCTTGGTGAGCTCACTACTAGCTATTGCTTGATAAATGCATCAGAACACTGATTATGATTACTGCCCTAAGGCAGCTTGAAAGTTTTCAGTTCTTTCCACTCCCAGTACAGTCAGCTTCTTCTCAAGAAGGTCTGCTTTTCTAGAAGAAAATAGCTGGATAGCTGGAGTCTTGCTTCATCTATGGAAGGTGCCTGTCTACACATGGCAGCCCAAAGGCTGAGTGTGCAGGCCTTAAAGGGAAAAGGGTGCAGAGCAGCATGCTATGAGTGTTGTGGGGTGACCTCTGCAAACCTCTGCTGCTCAGTGTTCCAACAGTGCTGAGATGCTGTAGGGGTCTGTGTCTTAACAGGATCTGCCAAAACTGGTGGTCCCAGTCCTGACCAGGGCTCCTTCCCAGCCAGTGCTATGCGCTGGGACAGCAGATATGTATGCAAGGAAAACCCCAAGTCATGTCCATACAGAAGAGTGGCTGGCTGTGCTGCAGGACTGATGCCATCTGGCTTCCATCCTGGCTGCCAGCCCCAGGGTTATAATTAGAGCCTGTGACATAGTCAGCAAAGTCTCCTCCCCTGTTGCACCAGCTGTCCTCATGTTCAGTTCCTGCATCTGGTAGCTAAGCTTCTTTTGTAGCACTGCAGCAGTATGGAGGGCCTGCTTTTTCCCTGCTAAAGTCTGAATCCATCATTGTGTCTTGTAGATGACCCAACTGCTGCCTTCTACCTGGTGCAAGTCCTGTGGAAACTGAACCGAAAACAAGAGGCTGCTGATTACTGGCAGAAGTACTTGGAGAGCCCTGCTGGGGAACATGGGCAGCAGGAAAGACAAGGAAGGTGTGTAGTAGGGCATGTGGGATGTCAAGAGGCCACACACAAGCGCTCTGGCAGTGCAGCCTGAGTTCTAAATTTTGTGAACAGTTTAACTCAGCTCCTCCTAGCCTGCACCTGCAACTTGAATGAATCATAGAATCATAGAATGGCCTGGGTTGAAAAGGACCACAATGATCATCTAGTTTCAACCCCCCTGCTATGTCAGCATTCATCCTGCAGGGTCACCAACCAGCAGACCAGGCTGCCCAGAGTCATATCCAGCCTGGCCTTGAATGCCTCCAGGGATGGGGCATCCACAGCCTCCTTGGGCAACCTGTTCCACTGTGTTACCACCCTCTGTGTGAAAAACTTCCATCTAATATCTCACCTAAACGTCCCCTGTCTCAGTTTAAAACCTGAGGAGCTTCGCCCCTCTGTGTACTCTGAGATGCTCTACAAAAGAGCAGACACAGAGCTAAAGCCTAGTTTTGTGATGGCAGAATGGGAGAGTAAAGGCTGGGGTGAAAACTGGGGGCTTTGTGCAGTGCAGGAGGAGTGAACTTCCTAGTATAGTAAGACTGTAGTGAGGGAATGTCACAGATCTTATGGCTGCAACACTCTCTTCTCTTTCAGGCCCTTCCCTTTGTACCTGGACTCATGTCTGAAGCTGGCGACTTTCCCAAAGGATGAATATCTTGCTAAGTGCATACAGGATTACCTCAGGACCACAAGACAGAATTCCTCAAGATAGTTGAGTCAGTCTATTCATTGTCACCTGCTGCAGTTTTGCTGCCTCCCAGGGTGGCATGAGGCCCTTAAGGACTCTTCCAAGATTCAAAGCAACTTTTGGATGAAGGTGGTTTCCCAAAAGACTGAAACAGAATAGACTTCCTTTCCTAAGGATAGTCTCAGATCTATTTAATTTATATAAATTTTTCTGGGGCTTCTTTTCTCAAAGCAATTCAGAGTGAACCTTTGCAGTGAAGATCATGGCCTTGATACTGCTGGAGCAGCTGTGAGTCTGAGGAATATAGCCTGGGAGTGTGGGAGATAAGGAGTGGAGATTCTTTTGGAGTTAACATCAGCTGGGCTGCTGTACCTTGCTGAGTCCTGCTCTGTGCTCCTTGCTGCAAGGAGCTGATGGTAAAGCTGGATGTTCTTATAAAATAAAGGGTTGTCAGATGCCCTGTCCTACCTGTGCTTTGTATGTTTGCTTTTTTGCTCAGTCGCTACAATTTGGAGCCTAGAAAAGTGTCTGAAGCTCAAGTGTGTGGCTTGGAGCTCTGACTTTGGTGTGTTGTATGAGCCAGCAAAAGCAGCTGAGACCCGGGGCTGCTCTCCTGGCCTCTACTGCAACTGTGGGACCGCACTGGGGCTCCTGCTGCACTCCTGCTACCCCCAGAAGGGAACGGGGAGCACAGGAGCCAAATTACAGAAGCTCTGGAAGATGGTGGGTGCGTGGAGGGGGATGGTGTGCAGTGCCTCTCGAAGGGGTCACAACCCACGGAGGCAAATCTTCCAGAACTGTCCCCAGATCCCTTACATTTGGGAGAAAGCAAAACAAAACAAAACCAAACCTCGGGCCCCCGTCCAGGAGCCCCAGCCTTACGCACCCTCCCTTCGCCGGCGTGACAACTGAGCGCGTCCCTACGCTCTCGCCCACGCGCGGAGCGCCCGGCAGAGCCCGTGCGCGCTCATCGCACCAGTGACGCTCGCCAAGTTGTCAGTCACCAGCTCCCGCCCTTCTAATTGGCTGCAGCGCTCCTACTCCGTGTCTCTCCGCTCAATTGCTAGCCAATCGTGAGGCGAGGCGGGTAGCCGTCGGGGCGGGAGCTCCCGCCTGGATTTTCCTATTGGCGGATTTTTGCTGTTGGCCGCACGGGCCGTGTTGCCTGGTAGAGCAGCCACGGCAGAAGAGCGCTGCGATTGGCTGACCATTGTCGCGCTTGGCTCGTGACGATTGGGAGGTGAAAAGGAAAGGGGCGGGGCGAAGGACAGAGAGCGTTCTTTCTTTTTTTCTTCCCCCCCCCTCCTATCCGCTTTCTGATTGGCCGAGCCCCGCGCCGGGCAGAATTTCCGATTGGCCAGCGCACGCTGTTGCTAGGCAGGTGAGGAGGCGCGGGGCGGGGCGGAGCTCCCCCTTCCGATGAGTCGGCTCTGAGGTTCAGTCAGCGCGAAGCGCCCCGACCCGCGTCCGCCGCGAGCCCGCCCGAGACCCGCGTCCGCCGCCGCCGCCCGCTCTGAGGAGCCGCCGTCGCGCGCTTCCCCTCGCCCCTTTCCCCTCAGCGCCATGGCCTCAGGATCCGAGTAAGTGCGGGCTCCTGCCGGCAGGCCGCGGCCTAGGCCCGGCGCCGAGGCGGTGAGGCGCGGCCTTCCTGCCCGTCCTTCGCCTCGGCGCCGCGCGGCGCTGCCGGGCCGGGCCGGGCCGTTCGGAGGCGCGGCGGGGGCCCGGCTCCGGTTCCCGATCCCGCTGTGTCATGCAGGCCCCGAGCGGGCGGAGGCGGGGCTGCGGGAGGAGGGTGGGCCGCTCTTCGCGCTCCCGGCCGGGCGCGTGCCCGCAGGGGGCCCTCGCCGCCCCCTCCCGCCGTCCCTGCCCGGGAAGTGTCGAGTCACGGCGGGGCGAGGCCGGGCCTCTCGCCGAGCCCCTGTGTCCCGGCCGGGCTGGGCCGCGGCCGGGCGGCGCTTTGTCTCGTAGGACCCGGAGGAAGCGGCGGAGCGGCCGGCGAGAGGGGCAGAGCCGCGGCCAGGTCTCTGTCCCGCGAGCGCCGAGCCGCCCCCGGGCCGTGGCTGCGGGCTGGCGGGTGACTCGGCATGGGGAGAGGCGGACATGTTGTGTTGTGCCGGGCCGGCCCCGTGGCGGCTGAGGCAATCCGCTCTATTTTCATCTCTCGTGCCTTTGCCTCGCGCCGCTCTTGGTTGCAGGCTGAAGATCGTCTTTCACGCTTCTCAAAAACGAGTTGGGCAATAACAGTCCCGCGGCTGCCATCCCACGTGCGCGCTCCGCTGGGTTGGCTCTCGAGCTGAGTAAAGACGGCACCCGAACGTGATTTCCTAAATCCAGGAATACTTGAAGTGACTCGCTGGCATTGCCAAAGGCACTTTCGGTCATTTTAGCGTCTATTGTTTGTGTTCTAGTTTTCTTTTGCAACTCCTGAAATTTAGACCTGGCCCTGCTAAGTCGGGTCCTTGAAGATGTGCCAAGCATTCAGCATCGCGCTGAATGCTTGTGATAAAGATGATAGTCTAATAGACCTATTTTTTAGCTGTGTGAAAAAGACGTATTTTCTTTTTGCAAAGTTTTCTCACCACATAGAAAGTTACTCAACTAGGGAACAGTTGCCTTTTAGCCACAGTTTTTAGTTCAGTTCAGTGCTGTTGGCAACCATCTTGTTGAATTTTAGCACTGCACGAGCTAGCAGAGTGTGATTTCTTGAGAGATTTTCGTGTGCGTACCTGTCTGGCTCATCTTCAGCATGCCTTTGAACTCGGTCGTCCTGTGCTGTTCCAGTGAGTGGCTGCAGTCATCTGAAATGTCATTCATTTGCTTTAATGGATAAAATGTTTTGTAGGCTTTTAATATCTACCTGGGGAAAGCAGCTCCATCTGTATCGTGGATGTTTGGGCTCAGGTTGGTAAGAAGCTACTGACAGGTTTGTCTCGGAAGGGCGTTAATAAAAAAAAGTCCAGTAGCCTCCAGAAGGCATGATTGTTTTCACTTTCATTGCTGAAATTGGAGTCGTCTTGAGTCAGTGACCTTTCACTATATATTTACCACAGACTTACAGGAATCTCTTAGTTCCCTAGTTCATTAGGATTTCTTGTGATTTTAGTTATTTCTTTTCTTTAGTAGTTGTTCTCAAAAGAATGGCTAATCAGTAATTATTTTCTGCTTGCTTCATGTTGTCTGCTGTAACTACAGCCTTTGGGTGTTACTGTCTGCTAAACAGAGGTGTTCTGACACACGGAAAAATGTTAAAAGTGTGGAAATTTTTTAAAAGTCTACCTCTACCTCTAAAAAAGGAGTGAGAGGGAAAATGAGTGAGGGAGTTGGCAAAAGGAGTGAGTAGGGGAAGTGATCTGAAGATGTTGCAGTTTCTCTCTGGCAGAAAACTCATAGAGGAGCATTAAAAGTTAGTCAGGCTAGGTGTCTGTCTTGGCACTTCACTGGAGTTCACCAGCACGCATAGGAAGGCTGGCAGAAGAGGATCACAATACATTCCTAGGTTTCCAGCTTAGTATTTCAGTTTGGGCTCTCCTTTTGAGGGGCACATTTTGCTCTGTCTTTTCAGTTAATGCTTGAGAAGCCCCCAGGAGAGGCAGAACAAAAACAAATAGTGATGGTGATACCCTAAGTTGTAACTGAAAGATAGGGCAGCACTAGTCTGTCAGAGTTGGCACTTTCCTGTGTAACTGTTGTGTAATTTTCTAAAACCTTTATTTTTCTTTTTTTGCACAACAATTAGGGTAGATAACTGAAACTGACTCCAGGCATTTAGGTATGTGTATGCTGATTCCTCTAGATTTTTTTTTTCTAACGCTTCCAAGTTTCTTTGATTGCTTTAAATGCCATAATGTAATGATAGCATTGATTCAGTGCTTGCTTCTTACCTAGGAAACTGCAGATTCAGTTCTTCAGTACCAAAACTTTTTCCTCACATTCAGCAGGGCTAAATGTACCTCTTGCTGTGCTGTTCACTGCTGTGTACTGGAAAGTGTTTGCACTTTTTTCCCCAGTTTTTATGCAGCTTTTGGTTTAATGAAAGCTTTGGTCAAAAACCTTTCACTTGCTGCCCAATTTCTCTTCCATTTTATCTTGTGTCCTGGCATGTATTTTAGTCTGCGTAATAATCTCTGCATCCCAAAGGATAGTTACTCAGTTTCAGTGACAATTTATGCAGCCAAAGTCTGGCAATGGTTTCTTACCAAAAGGCCTTTGGATCCAATCTCATGTATGGAGGAGTATGATTTGCATTCAAACTTGAACAGACTAAATAGAGGTATTGTTGCTGTCTGGTGTCCCCTAGTTCAAGATTTGCAGTGTACCTACTGAAATAATTTCCTTTGCCCAGGAGCTTATGCTGATGCAGAGTACTTCATTTCTGTTTGCTGTTTTAACTACTGGCCTGGTGGCATATTGGTCCCAGTTTCCTTTTCTCTGTTAGGGTTGTTTTGTTTGTGTGTGTGTAAGTCCCAGCCCCTTTAGGACTTTGCCGGGACCGCATTTTCCCTTGAAGATGGCAGCTGTGGGCTTCTTTCTGCTTGTATCTAGCAGCCTTTCTTGTATCTCATTGGGTTTAAGGGCTGGGTCTGGAGCATTTTGCACAATAATTGAAAGGGGAATATGATAATTTCTTATGTGTTGCACATGAATGAAGAAAGGGAAAAAATCAACTTGCCCAGTGCTAGCAGTCCTGGAAAGGCATGTTTTACAACTCCTTATTTTGTTCTTTTAATATAATGCTCCCTGTAATTTCACCATGTTTCCTCTGCTACTGAGACTTTTGCAAAGCTTGAGGACCTTTTAGAAAACCACTGACTACACTCCCTGGCTGCTGCTTGTTGTCCCTCTCCAAGTGTCAGGGAAAAGAGGTGGCTCCACACACTTTGTCTTGGAAAAACTTCGGTCTTGAGTGTGTGGGGGGCAATGTCATGCTGTGGACGAGGTATGACAGACCTCTCTGATATGCTTCTCAAGGTGAGTGACCACGTTAAGCACAGTTAATCCCGCAGCATGCTGCATTCATACTGAGTAGTGCTTGTTATTCTGCAGCTACTCAAGGTTTGACTTCTAGTTATTTTGTCCCTAAAGAGCTAAATGGAGCCAAGGCGGTTGTCCACAAAGGGCTGCCTGCTCTTTGCTCAAGACAGAGAAAAGCATTTTTATTGTTTTTGTCAGAATCAAACTGAACTCTGCATCATTTTCTGTGACCTCTGAACTACTTAGAAATAAGTAGTCAGATGTCTGTCAGGGGAAGTTACAACCATGTTGCTATTTTGACTGGCTGAAGTACAACGTCCAGGAGTTCCTCAGGAATCAGTTGGCTCCAAATCGTGCTTTTTTGGTGGTGGTTGTTTTTTTTTTTTTTTAAAGAAAATGTATTAATCTGCCTTTCTTTCATTTCCTTACTGTTTCTATTTGCCTTGATAAAGTCAAGCAAATCATTTTCTGTCATATTTCTTGTGGTGTAGTGTGTTAGAGCTTCAGAGACTTCTGTGAAGATATCACAGAGGAATTCTTAAAAAAAACCAAAACAACAAACAATTTTTAATGAGCTCTTGATAATTTCACTGGCTTACTAGCTTTAACTAATAGACCTTGACAGGCAGAACTCCTACCAGCTCTTCCTGTCAGGGTAGCTGTGGCATTGTTCTTTAATTCCCCCATTTATCTGGGATCGGACACCAAACGGACTTAAACTTTTGTTTCACTGGCAGTGGTTACATGTGATTGCAGATGAGTGGTAATTCTTTTAGGGAAAACACTGTCAGCAACATCTCAGTGACCACTTCTTTTCATAGATAACTTTATAGCCATTTCCATTTGAGACTGACTTAATGTTTACCCACAGGAAATGTTGTCATTGAACACCTGAAACTGGTGCCTGGGAATAACATTCTCCTTTATTTTACAAACAAGTATAGTTTTTAAGAGATGTGGTGACAAAGAAACATGTAGAAAATGGAAACCAAAACAAGGGGGGGTGTCTGCAAAGGGAGGAGTGTTATCACTTAAACTTAGTCCTTCTGTTTTCTTCTCCAGTTCTAAAGCAGATGACTTATCGACTGCTATTCTGAAGCAGAAGAACAGGCCCAATCGGTTAATTGTTGATGAAGCCATCAATGAAGACAACAGTGTGGTGTCACTGTCCCAGGTGTGTTATCTGTTAACAAAAAAATTAATGTAGATAATACATAAACAGCTGCTGTATATTAACTTGAAATTTAACTATGCAGTATGAATCTAAGTGTTTGTATTAGAAACTGCAGCTGTTACAAGTGAGGGAGATGGACTGTCTTGCTTTCTAGTACTCTTACGTAATAAGAATAGATTTTGATCATGAACTTTTAAGATTCAGTTGAGTTTAAGCCCTCAGTCTGGTTTCAGGGTTAGCTCTTGATCTATGCAATGAGATCCAGTGTCTTTGTGGCTTTAGTATGTCACTTCCAATACGTAATTCACCAAGGTCAAGTGATTGCGTTCAAATGCTTGAATTCTTGTCTTATCAAAAGCTTGTTCTAATGTTCTTACTGTTAACAGGCAAAAATGGATGAATTGCAACTGTTCAGAGGAGACACTGTTCTCCTAAAAGGAAAGAAGAGGAGAGAAGCAGTCTGCATTGTTCTGTCAGATGATACCTGCTCAGATGAGAAGATTCGCATGAATAGGGTTGTTCGCAACAACCTGAGAGTGCGCCTGGGTGATGTGATCAGGTGGGGACTGGCTTGCTAATGTGTGCATATTCCTTAGTTGCCTGCATAATTTGTGTACTGGCTCTGAATTTAAAGACAAAGTTTGAAGGAATTATTTTTATATCTTTTAGAAGAGACCTCAGAAATGTTTCCAAGTGTGTGGCTTGCATCAGGGATCTCACTTAACTTTTGCACGTGTTTCTGGCTGTGTACATACTCAGATTAATACTGAAAATTGATGGTAAAGATTCTTGATGTCTATTAGCTCTTTCACAAACGTAGCTCCTGTAGTTAAATTGGGTAGTTCAATGATCCCAAATTTACTTTGTCAGATGAACTTGCGAATTCTTTTTTTTATGTCTATACCAGTAACAGTGGAAAGCGTTGAACAGTATTGTAACCTATCTCACAGTATCTAGCTGAAGCACCCAGCTGCCTTGTGACATACAAGTGTTCAGAGGTGCTAGGGACGGATATAAAAAACATGAAGCAGTGAAAATTAAAAGACCTCAGAATACATTTATATTCAGAATGTCTAAATTTCAGTTTTTGTTCCGAAAGTAACTTTATAACTAGGAATTATTTAAAAGTGTTGCAGGAATAATCTTGTTGTGCAGCACTTGGAGAAGGTTGTGAGATAACATTGTGTCAAGTACATCTTAGCTTATAGGAGCTGGGGAATGCCATGTGAGCACTTCGGAAATGCAGAAGTGTTAATATGCAGGCTTAAATATGGGAAGGCCAATGGTTTCACTATTGAGGATCTTCCTAACTTGCAATCTCCTACATGTTCTGGGAAAACTAGAGCCTGGCACTGTACTTCCTGGGGTGTTCACTGGCATAACTTTTAAATGCAAACTGTTTCATACAAACTTTGTTGAGGAAACAGGTAAAGCTGTATCACCTACCTCTCTAATACTAGAAAATTCAAATTTTAAACAGTACCCTGTTTGGAACAGGACAAACCTTTGACACAGTTTGTGTCAAGTAAAGGTGAATACTCATTTTGGATATGAGGTTACTTTTGAAGTCTTTCTAGTGTAACAGTTCAGCCTCTGATCTCACCTTTTCTGATGGGACTGTGTCTTTGATAGTTCTCAACCCTATAAATCAGGGTTATTAGCATTGTTATTAGCATTGTTGCAGTGGTCAGAGAACTTTCACATTTGTTGCTCTCTAAGGTTTTGTTGCTGATATTTAATTACTTATTGTATTGCTTTCTGTAGATTAGCCTCTATCTAAATCCAGATTCATGGGCCAAACACCTCCTGCTTGTGATCCATAAACTTTTCCTTCTGGGGTGGTCTGGTTTTTCCTTTACTCTTTTGCTGTATCATCTTTGTAAGGCATATGTTGAAAGTATCTGTTAAGATACAAAGTAGTGCATGAAAAATATTGCAGTCAATTGCAATTCTATGTAGGCTTTTCTTAAGCAGGCAAAACCAGTTTGAGCTTTCTACTTTTCAGCTGCAGCTATCACAACAGTAGGCTTTTGGCCTACACACCTACACTATAAAATGATAGTTGCAGTGTTTATTTAAAATGGGGGAAAAGAGCCTTAGGACTTCCATCTAAACTTCAGTTTCTGAAAAGTGGGGTGTCATATGGATGCCTGGCTGCAAGCTGATTACCACTGACTGGTACTTAGAGAACCTCTGCTGTGTATCAGGATTATTGACAGCAGGCTCTGATTCCTTGTGGTAAGTTACGAGAGAGAGATGAAAGATAAAAGGTACCTGCAGCTCCATTTTTTGTGCTGTTGGTTGACTGTAGCTAGTTCCTTATTGAAACAAAAAATAGCTTGTAATTCCTGCAGGTTGTCTTTCTGCTCTAGTAATTTGTGAATTTTGGGTTAGTGAAGGATGTCCTGGTGGAAGAGCAGGAAGAAAGTATGAAACACCCCAGCAGGCTTGGATAAGGCTCAGAGGAATGAAGGAAGGTGTGATGTGAAGACGAGCTCTCTAGGGTATTTAGTTTCTCAGCATTTAAATGTTCTTAGGGAGGTGGGAAGTCTCAGCAAGAATTTGGATAGTCCTTTCCGGGAGTTGTACTGGCCTGAGAAGAAACATTACTGCCTTTTCCAGTCTTGGGTGTAAGTCCAGGGTGATGTGGCTAACTGATGTTTTCTTCTGTTGCAGCATCCAGCCCTGTCCAGATGTGAAATATGGCAAACGTATCCATGTGCTGCCAATTGATGACACAGTAGAAGGAATCACAGGGAATCTCTTTGAGGTTTATCTCAAACCATACTTCCTGGAAGCATACAGACCCATCAGGAAAGGTAACAGCACTTGCTATTGAAGTCCTGAGACTGAGTAAAGGCATCAGACTGGCATCTTTCGAGTGAGATTTTACCGATGCTGATATTTGTTCTTTTTTTTGTTTAAAAACAACAACAACAACAACAAAACTTGGGTAGAACTTAGGAGAAAATCTTAAACTAAGTTGTTACAATTTGAGAGGATTGGGTGTTTGCTTCTGTATTAAGCAATTGGTTGGATATACCAAGTGACACCGTAATTCAATTCACTTCTTCAAAATAATACAATAACTGAGAGAGTGCTTAGAAAACCAATTGCAGCTTTAGAGCTACGCTAGTAGCACATCTGCTGGAGCAAGTAGGTCCTAATACAGTATAAGTGCAAGTTGAATAAAATTTTCTAGTTTCTGTGGTCCAATTTAGTCAGAAGTTGTAGTTAATATGTATTATTCTGCTTCTAGAAACAAGCAGTTGTTGCAATTAGTAACAACTTATTAAGATAAATTCAAAGTAAGTTTTTTATTATGTTAGAGATTTTTGTCCCTTCCATCATTGTTTCTGGATAGAATTTCTTCTTTGAGCCAGTAGGCTGTAATAGGACATTCAAGACTTACCTTTGCATGTCTTTGTGCAGGCTGGAACAGCCACTCTAGAAAGTCACCTGGTTGGAGCAGTAGTAGCAAAAGCAATGTACAGATGGTGGCTGGAATTAATTTCTCTAGTGAAATGGTCAGCAGTTGCTGTTCTCAAACATAAGGCACTGGGAGTCAAAGTGGGGCAGTTGGGGAGCTGTATAAAGAAACCACCTTTTTGAGATCGAGTCTCACGTTGCTCTGCATATTTCTTGAAAACCTCTGGTTGCTCAGGCTGGTGCACCATTTCAGTCTGCCTTTGGTTTCTCCTGTCTCATGAATTTTCACTTGCAGTTGTGCTGTCTACTGTCCCTTGGGCTATGCACTGCAAGCAGGCAGCTAATTTGTAAATTGATAGCTAGTTTCTAAAGATGACAGAGAAAAACATGAACATCTTTCTTTTGAACCCTATTATTAGCCTGTTTGCTTATTTTTTTTCTAAACAGAATCTAAAGGGCTTTTTCTTTTCTGTAAACAAAAAGAGTTCTAAAAAAGCTAAATTGAAACTGAATGAAAAATAAATATGACAATTATGTTTGATTGTTTGGTATTTAGTTGGAGTATTCCTTTCTGTTGTTTTCTGTTTGTTTCTGCATGAAATTTGAGAAGATTAAACTGCTGCAGATCTGAATGATGTCCTAATAGTCACAGGTGCAGCTCTTGAGTCTGAGATACAGAGCAGTATGAAAAATGCTAGTGGCATATGCATGTATAACCTATTTTCTTGTCCTCTGAGGCTGCTGGATGTACAGGGATGGGCATTTTGCAGATGTCAGTTGCAACAGTGTAATGAATTGTGGGTTTTCACAGGTGACATTTTCTTGGTGCGTGGAGGGATGCGTGCAGTGGAGTTCAAAGTGGTGGAGACAGATCCAAGCCCTTACTGCATAGTGGCTCCGGACACAGTGATCCATTGTGAAGGAGAGCCCATCAAACGAGAGGTGAGCAGAATCCTATCACACGGTTCTTGTACTGATTTCAGTCTGTCCTGTGAAATCTCTTTCTGTGACAGTGCGTTCAGCTCTGGGAATGGCATTTTGTGTATTGAATGTAATGCTGGAAGCTGCGTTTCCAGGGGATGAGCTGATGCTGGCAGTAGTTTGAGAAATGTGCTTCCACTGTCCTTCCTCAGATACTGAGATTACACTAATGCCTAGGCCATAATTTGGTAGCAGCTGGTTTTGCATCTGCTTCCGGGTATCTAGGGCTGGGCACTAAGTGGAATTTATGGACATTAAATGCATCATTTAATTCCAGAGTTCCCTTGATCCATAGCAGGCTTAAATGTGTTGCTAAATTTTGTGCCATGTGAGAAAAAAGCAATTAATTGTTTTTTAAGTGAGATAATTGAGATCTCTAAACAGGTAGTTTTGTTTTAACTTTATTTCAAGCTATTGAAATATCTAACCTGGGACATCCAAAGTTTAAGGCAGTGTGAATGGCTGGTCCATCAGGCGTAGGCCACCTTATTTTTATAGAGTAGGAAATCTCAGGAATAGGAGTAATTTGGCCATGACTGCCTTTTAACTAGCTGCAAGTCAGATTGAGTGCTGCTTTCTGGTTAGCTTCCCTCTGTTTAACAGTTGTTGGACACTGAATGAGTCTGGGCTCATTAGAACACCACACAGGCAGACAGGAGCAGGTTCAGCCAAAGCTACCAAAATGAACCTGAGGTCAAAATAAATGAGATGGGCTGGGAGAGTGGGCTTATGCGGCCTAGAGAAGGAAAGGTGAAGCAGCAGACCTACTGGCAAGGTGGAAAGGTGTAGGCAACCTGACTTTTCTGAAAGTTGTGCCCAGGAACAGGACTAGAGGCACTGGCACAAGCTGAGTCAAGAAAGTTCCTGGCAGATGCTAGAAAAAAGGTTTCCCCAAAGCCTAGAGCAGAGCCTAGAGAGATCAGGAATCTCTATCGCTGGAGATCTTCAGCACTTGTCAGGGACAGTCTCGTATTAAAGTAGTGGTACTGGCTTGGTGAGTGTTTGGCCTGAGCTCCTGTAAGATTCCATGTGATGTTTATTTATTATTTTAGTTACAGTATCCTTGTTTCAACTGGGTCTGAGTTGATTTTCTTCATTGTGTCTGGTATGGTGCTACATTTTGGCTTTAGGATAAAAACAATGTTGATAACATACTAATGTTCAGTTGTTGCTGAAAAACACTGTACAGAGCCAAGGACATTTCAGTTTTTTAGCTTCAGGCTGTTATCCAACAGGGTGGGTTCTGCTGAGAACCCCCTGTGGGGGTCCTTGAGATGGACCTTGTCTCTATGGGAGATCTCTGGGATGCCTCCTATGGCAGGCAATTGCCATTGAATGTTTGGGTAGTCAGAGATAAGAAACAAATGTGAAAGACATGAGAAAGACTTGAAAATGAGATTCTCAGAACAACAAAGAAATGACACTGAGCAAAAGCCCAGACTCCTGGAACTAGGGAGGGATTGTTGAACTATTGTTTTCACTCAAGTGTTTAATACGTTTCCTTCCTGGTAGGATGAAGAAGAGTCATTGAATGAGGTGGGCTATGATGACATTGGTGGCTGCCGGAAGCAGCTGGCTCAGATCAAAGAGATGGTGGAACTTCCCCTTCGACATCCTGCTCTCTTCAAGGCCATAGGAGTGAAGGTAGGTACCTGTGTGCATCAGGTGGATGAGTGGTCTTGCTTTCACTGATGGCTCATTATGTAGGAGCCTTAGGACATACTGAAGGGGAATAAGTAAGAGGAATAACTTGTGTGTTGTTTGTCTTCCTCTTTAATGCTGGTATTGGGGAGAATTTCCTTACGTGTTCTACAGATTGAAGCACTAGCACTTGTAAAACAGAATGATGTTTTGAATAAGCACTGTCAATTACTGGCTGGGTTTTTGTTTGTGTGTCATGCAAAGTAGTCAGGGTGTTGGTGGTAGGATAGCAGCTGTTGCATGAGGTTGCATCATCATTTCAGACTGATTTTATCAAATACTTGGAATTTCACTGTGAAGCTTCTTAGGCATTCTGATACTAGTTTACCACTAAATCCCTTCTCTTTTCCCAGCCTCCACGGGGAATCCTGCTGTATGGTCCACCTGGCACTGGCAAAACACTGATTGCCCGAGCAGTGGCCAATGAAACTGGGGCTTTCTTCTTCCTGATCAATGGTAAGTTTTGGGTCTGCTTTGGACCAAGATCTGCTGTGTAATCATTCATCCAACTAATGGTAGTAAATGGTTTAAATAAGGCTTGTGTAGGCACGTGTCCTTGACATCTGTCCTTGCTTGCTTCTTTCAGGTGCCCCTCTGGAGATGCTTAGAGGCCATTTGTGCAGAAGCATCTGTAGTGGCACTGAACTTAAGTGTAGTGGTTGAAAGGCAGCTTTGTGTTGCAGGAACTCAGTCTGTCTGAGTGTTAATTTATGTTGTAGGGGCACAGCTAGGACTGAAGCAGTGAGATTATTCCATGTATATGGGCAAAAAAAAAGCCTTTTTTTTTGCCAGCATGTTTTACTCAGAAAAAAAGCTAGTCTGCATTGCATTTTTCTTCCCTTCAAGTAAAGTACAAGACTTGTTTTGTCTTGTTTTGTTTCACTTATTTTTAATTGGGAGGAACTTTTCCTGAAAGCTATAATGTGTACCTTGGAACTTAGCTACAAATGACAGAACCTCATGCTGATCATTAACACTTAACAGCAGTTGAGATAGATAGGTACTAGTTTATGTCCACAAACAAAATTCTGAATTTTCCTCAGTACTCTTCTCTCCCATTTTACAATCAGTGCTACAATAACTGAATGTTTGTACTTGAGAACTGCTGCTTTTCCTCTCTTCTATGATTTCAATTAGACCCATGAAGGTGAAAGCAGCACAGCATAGCAAAAAGCAGTAGTATCTGCTTTTTATCTCAAGGTGTCATAGGAGTGACCAGTGGTAGTGAATTAACTTGCTTTTATCTGAAGATGTTAGAAGTAAATGGATGTCTCTACCCACATGTCACCCTTGTCTTATACTTTCTAAGTGTATGAAAGGTGTCACTAATAATAAGTCAATTGCCATAGACTTGTGCTTCTCTTGCATCATAAAAATGACATTTGTTGTCAGAATTAGTTATGCATTCTCTGCTCATCCCAAAACTGAAGCAGCAGGCAGTAGAGAGAGCTGGTGTGAATTGATGGATTACCTGAAGTGAAACAGTACCTGCCTGGACCAGAGGCTCTGCAGCTAGAGCACTTCAGTCAGCTAGCAGCTTTACACTCCTGAGCATCAGGTTTCTTTTCCTTGGATCCTTCTGAAGAAGCATAGTTTGTCTTCATGATCATTTCCATCATCATGATGAAAAAAACCTAAACAAATTAGATTGTTAAGTGTTAGAGTTTAGCAATTGTAGGAAGTCTCAGGGGGTTGCTGTCCTTTCTGGAATTGGCGTGTTCATATTTTTTATGAATTAATGCTTTGGGGGCAGATTGCATGGTGTGCTTTTTTGGCTGTTTGCTTGTGGGTTTGTTTTTGTTTTGTTGTGTATGTGTGTTTTTTTGTTCATACTTGTTTGTTTTGTTTTGGAACTTATTTATAAGCTTGTACAGAGGTAAATGTTTACCTGTATAATACAAGCTGAAGACAGTTTCAGTATCTTACAGCTTTTTCCTTCCCTACTCTGGTAATTCATCACCATATAATTTGATTGCTTTTCTTGCAAGCTAGGACTGGCATTAACAGTGTGTGGTGGCACATTACAGAGAAGCTCACCAAGTGTGAAATAGGGTAAGAAAAGAGGCAGCTAAAGGTAGCTCATTGACTAGTACTGCATTCTGTTAGAGTAAACTGAAAACACCAGAGTAACGATAGAAAGTAATTCCGCATGCTGTTCTTGCCTGTTCAGCTGCAAATTTAGTGAATTTGGTTGATAGTGTTTGCTTTGGCTTGAAATATAGATACTCCCATGTGAATGTTGTTCTGAAAAAATTCAGCTGCATGCCTTGGAGCTGTCTGCTTTTCTTCTGGGTGCCACAGTGCTGCTATTTTTCAGGTCCTGAGATCATGAGCAAGCTGGCCGGTGAGTCTGAGAGCAATCTGAGGAAAGCCTTTGAAGAAGCTGAAAAGAATGCACCTGCCATCATTTTCATTGATGAACTGGATGCCATTGCTCCGAAGAGAGAGAAGGTAAAAATAGACTTTGGGAGCTTAAGATGTATTGTGTAAGATGTACACCCTTTTTGGTAGCAACTGGCATGAATCTCTGTGCTTTGAGTATAGGGTAAGGCAGCAGTTGGACCTGAGAGGAATTGTATATTGTCCACAATGTTTCGAAGCAGCTGGTGGTTTTAGTGTCTGTCTGCTGTGGTGCAGCTCTAGTACCTGTGCTGTGCTGTGGACCTTGAAATCTGATCATTGCTTTCCATCTCCACAGACGCATGGAGAGGTGGAGCGTCGCATAGTGTCTCAGCTATTGACTCTTATGGATGGACTGAAACAGAGAGCACATGTGATTGTTATGGCAGCTACCAACAGACCAAACAGCATTGACCCAGCACTCAGGCGATTTGGTAACTGGTTTATCATCTTTGTTTTGTCTGTTAATACTTTATTACAGGCTATGCTTCAGGCGCCTTGAAAACATTGAGCAGAAATTTGTTATTAAACATTGTCTGTGTTGATTGTGATTTGTCTCCAACTTCTTGTTTGAGGTTAGCTTCTAGGGTTCTGGGCTTTGGTATAATTTTCTCGTCTTATTAGATTGGAACTTATGGAAATAACAAAATACTTGAAATCTAGTGGTAGCCTTTTTTAGTTGAGGCTAGCTTGAAGGAGTAAATGGCTTTTTAAGAGAATGTTCATGCCTCAGGCTAATTTTCTGGCTTCTCTTAATTTTTACTGATGAGGAGTCAGGTAGTTTCCAAGATCTGGGTTTCCAAAGCTCTGCAGTGTGAATGAATGTCTGGTGTATGAGCAGTGAAGCCTGTAATAGCAAGCCAGTCAAGTTTACAGGAGAAAATAGCATCTTTAGTCTGCAGACTAGACTGGAGACTAATGATAGGCATATGTACTTCAGTTAGTATTTCAGTAATATGTAGGCTTTCTGCCTCCCCACGTTAGGTTTTGGCATTTCACTGCTTGAGCATTGCTAGTGTGTACTGTAAAAAGTTCAGAAAAGCCAAATTCTTCCCTCAAGTTCTTATGCTCAGGACACAGAGATAGGAGTAAACAAAAATGTCTTGTGATGTCTTGGAGAAGCAAATGTTATCTTGTGATATCTTTTTCTGCAGATGAGGCCAGAAAAAAATTACTAAGACAGTAACAATCTGCTTTTTGTAATCCTGAACTCTATTTAATATAGTCGTCTCACTTTCTCTCACTTTCCTTACACTGCTAAGGCCTCTCCTTCTCTGATCTGACTCTGACTGTGCTGATAGATGCTGTAGAGAAACTGAAAGCTCTGGCATTTTATGAAATTATGGCTTGTCATCAGGTTGCTCAGTCGGAAGAAGCCACTGCAGCTTCTTTGGTTTGTAGAATCAGTAGCATAACATGTGTTGTATTCCCCAGGTCGTTTTGACAGAGAGGTAGATATTGGTATCCCAGATGCAACTGGTCGCCTGGAGATCCTGCAGATCCACACAAAAAATATGAAACTGGCTGATGATGTGGATCTGGAACAGGTGAGTAGCATGATGTTGGGAGGTTGTGGAGTCTCCTTCTCTGGAGATATTCAAGACCCGCCTGGACGCCTACCTGTGTGACCTGGTGTAGGGATCCTGCTTTGGCAGGGGGGTTGGACTCGATGATCTCTGGAGGTCCCTTCCAACCCCTATGATTCTGTGATTCTGTGAAAGGTGAATGTTCGTTGTGCAGTGTTTTGTAGTGGAAGAGCTGTTATGGCTTTGACCAGCAAATGTTAGTTGCTCATTTAACACATCTTTAAATGGGTGAATGTGTGATCTCTGAGCTTTCTTCTAATTAGTTTAACAGTGACCAAAATCCTCTCTTGCTCATTAAAAATGGCATTGCGGAGTGTAGCAATCATGTGTCAGTAGAATCTGCACATGGTTTGCCACTGACCTCTTGTGTTTGTTGTGGCATTCTCTTTAAAAATGAAGTAAGTTTAAAGCAGCAGTATGAGTGTTGTGGTGATTTGGGACACTCATTTTGTTCCTGTAATCTCTATCCTGAGTGAAGAGCTCCAGTCTTTGTGATTATCTTTCTGCATGCCTTCTGAATTCCAATTGCAACTTTGATCTCAAGTGGGACACAGAATAGTGTCTCTGCCTGTTAAATATGTGGTAGCACTTTTCCTGAAAATCACAGTGGAGCACTGACATTCCTATATTTCAGAGTTTCACTGCACCTCTGAATGAGTGACCAGAGCATGCCTTTCCTTGTGAATGCTTGCTTGTATCCCTGTGAGTCATAGTCAGTGCTTTGCTTTCAGGTGGCAAATGAGACCCATGGACATGTTGGTGCTGACTTGGCTGCTCTTTGCTCAGAAGCT